CAAAGGGGAGAAAACCCGCCCTCCCTAGGGAGCAGAACCCATGTTTAGTGTTTTACTTGATTTCAACGTTGGCTCTGCCCACTCCCTGTGTCAAGACTGACCCTGTGTGGGATCCCGAATGAGAGAATTTTCTTTTTTCTCCAGAGTGAGGATGAATTTGGTTAAGCTATTCATATATTTTCCACCCAGGCCTCCCCCTGCAACAAAGAACATGTATTTATGAAATAGCTGGCTGGGGGTAAAATGGCTTTTATTTTTTTTTTTGTAGCCACAGAACGTGTATTTTTTCCTCTGAGCTTCTCTAGCTGCTTTAAAGAACAAATCCCCACCCTTGCTCACATTAGCAGCATGAGCTAATCAGCTGAAATAACCAGCACGGAATGTTCTTTTATCCTTAAGAGAAAAAGAGAGAGTAAGTTGTATTTTAATTAGATATTTATAATGGCTACAAAGCAGCTCTTCAAGAGAAGTTTTTAAAAATTTGGCCTGCCTTCTAAGGCATAACTGTGTTCAAATTATCCTAAAGAGAGGTCGTATATCAATCTGATCCAGTTTGTGATAAATTTACAACTGGGTTTCGCACAGCAGATTTATAACAACAATTAAGCAGAAGGAAAATGGGTCATAAATTTTGGCTGGCACAGTCCGGCACCAAAGGGAAGAAAAGAGAATGGTTTGGCCAGATCAAAAGTCAATAATTTCAACATGGAGTGCTAAAGCTATGGCAAAAACAATTTAGATGGAAAGTAGTTGGCCTTTTTTCCACTCATTTTTTTTCAAAGTCGTATATTGGAGAATACAATGAAGTACCCGGAAGACAAAGGTCTTATTAAAAAGCTGGTGTGCATGTGTATGTGTATGTGTGTATTTAATTTTACAGATGGTATGAACAGTACAAACCTTTCCCTATTCCACTGCTATTGGATTTAATGAATGCACCTTCTCTTCTACGGACCAATGCAACACAGGGAAACAGAGTGGTCCAAGATACTGGGGCCCTGAATGTTTGTCCCTGAGAATTCATGTGTTGCAAACTGATCCCCAAATTTGTACACTGAGGGCATTTACAAACAAGGTCTTTGGAGGTTATCAGGGTCAGCTAAGGTCCAAGCCAATCAGAGCAGTCCATTCCCTCTGCTCTGCGATTGCCTAGAGAGCAGGTGCATGTTCGAGATATGGTGAGATTTTGGCTGAGACTTCCAGGAAAGAAACTCTTATTTCTCCATGATGGACTTTAACCTGTTCTCTACTATTCCATCTTCAGCCTCTGAAGAAATAACAGGGGTTTGAAGAAAACATCTCAGCGCAAGCACCATCCCCCCAAGGAACATTATTCTTCCCGTTCCTAGGCACCTACAGGGTGTCCCCACAGAGCCACTCACAGAGATGAGGCAGCTCCCAAGCCTCACCTTCTATTCTCTAAGATTGTCCACTTACACAGCAGGATTGCTAATCTGCTCTCTGTCTGAGCCAAGGAAAAATAATTGGAGAGAGATGGCAGTGTGGGGATTGGGGACAGTGAATGAGCAGGCCCCACTGGTGTGGCCAACACATGTGTCTTCCGTGGATCCTGTGGACAACATGGGAGTCATCGATGCTCAAGCCACTTGTTAGTAACTTGCTCAAGATAGTTGACTACCAGAAGGAGATTCCAGAACCAAGGACCCAGGGGCAGGGGATGGCAGTGGGAGCTGCCTGGCAGGCCACTGCACAAAGAATATGTCCCAAGTCTGAAGATTTCCTGCATCTGTTTAGAGCACATTTAAAAGAAATCATCAGGGACAACACAAGGCCATTTGCTGATACACCTCGCTTAGCTCACACTGCTCAAAGTACTGGTTACACTGCTTCCAGAAGACCATAAGGAGAGATGCTCCTGGAGCTGAGGGTCAGCAAGAGCAACAGCCTGGGTCCAGAGAGAGGGCCCCTGCCCCAAGCCGAACTCTTTGGGGTTTGCAGTTCTAAGGTCCCTGTCCTCAGCAGGGGTACTGACCAATGCCATGCATACTTCCTTTTGTCTTCTTGTTGGAGAGTTGTAGCTCTCATCAAATCCTCAGTGACATCATTTTCCCCAAGAGACTTTGTGTTTCCTTTTATCACTCACGTGTTGGTTACTCAGTGGCACATGGTGCTATAATTTGTTGTTGATGTTGTTGTTGTTGTGGCTGTTCTAACTCATACCAGTTGTTGACCTTGTTTTATGGCTTCTCGATTATGGAACTATATAGTGATGGAGTAGTGGGGTCTATTATATGTGGATGTGGGGGCATAATGGAACACGCATCCCTGCTTCCAGACGAAAGATGGATTCCCAATGAAACTGTTGGACATGTGTAGACAATGTGATACTGGACTGTCTGACATTGTCTGTGCAAACAATGTTGGGGTGCACTTAGATAAGAGACTGACAGAATTATGATTTCCTATGAAAGACTATGCCATTGTAGTAAAATGGGAAAATCTGTCAGGGGTAGGGGTTTGGGGGGAAATCCCAGCCTAACAAAATTGTACCACATAATTCAAAATTCAAAATAAAAATGTATTAAAAAAAAAAAAAACAGTGCCTGGGAGAAGATGCTTGAGTCCTGTGATGGACTCCGGGGGTTGGATGCTGTAGTTCTGAACTCCAGCTTCCCTCCAGTGCAATCCCTGGGAAGCAGGCATGATGGCTTCTATGACATGCCTCCTGCCACGTTCATGGGAGACTTGAGTTGAGTTTCTTACTCTCAGTTTATCCCAACTGAGAGTTGTTGCAGGCATTGGGGGACCTAATCAGTGAATGGAGAGAAGGCTCTGGTTTAGCATCACAATCAGGTCGGGGGTAAGAGGCCGTATGCGTGAAGGCCTTGAATGGAAAGTCACCATGTCCTCCTGGTGAATCAACACAACCAGGTGTGGTGGAGGACATGGCTTGTGGGACTGACTTCGAGAGCCCTGTAACTTTCTAAATGACACCAACCATGCTGGCTGGGTTATTAGCTGCTTTCTATTGCCCTGAAGTGTTGCACTTGGAAGGGAGGTGCTGTGGAAGAGACCCAAGTGTTTTTCGGTTGGCAGTTACAGCCCCTGAAGCTGAGGCACCTGACTTACTTCTCTCAGAGCCTAGGGCTCCTAACCAAGCCTCTTGCTGGCCACACCCCACCCTGATGCCTCCCAGGCACTCACCTGCACTCTACTCTGGCTTATTTGAGACCAGGGAGCTGAACTTCCCTCTACTGCCCTCCTGAGCTAGCACCCTGCACCTCCCTTGAGAAATCACCCTCCCAAATCATGTGACTTGACTACAATTGACTCCTGGCTCTGACTGGTGTCAGCCCAAAGGTCGCCAATTCCCTCCCTAAGAGCAGGCAGTGCCCCCCAAGCTTTCCAATCAGAGTGATCCTTATGGTGCTTACTGGGGGGTTTTAGAACACGGCCGCGCCCTCCTCCACAGCTGAGTCACCCAGAAGTGTACAATCCCAGACTTTCTGGGAAGACTACAGGGCAATCATGGGCCTGAGAACGGGGCTGGCATAAGGACACACAGCTGGGACAGAAAGCAGGAAGTGAGTGCCTCTTTGAGGCCTAGATTTGCCTCCTGTTTGTGCCTGAGCTGCTATCTGTAATAATGAATGTGAATTGATAGTTTTTTGTTTGTGATTTTTTTTTCCCTTAAAGCCATATGGGTTGGAGTTTTGTTACCTACAACCAATTGAAGCCAGTTCCCCCATTTCTCTTACATACATGTATCCCAGTGATTTGTGGTCCCAACCCCCACTCCAATTTAAAAACAAACCAGAAGCAGTGACCTATGAGGCAAGAGAAGTTAGGTGGTGTGACTATTTGGGTTCATGGTTCATTGAGACTCCATGCTCAAAGTATATTGATTAATAGTTCAATGTCAATCCAGAGGGAAGCCCTGTCCTGTTCAACATTTTATCAATGACTTGAGTAAAACAGGAGACATACTTGGCAAGTCTCAGATGACACAAAGCTGGGGGAGCTGCTAATATGACAGATGGCAGAATCAAGATTCAAAATTATTTTGACTGACTTAAACAGTAATAAAGATAAATAGAAACCCCTGCATCTAGGCTCAAACAATCAGTTGTATCAGCAGAGGGTGCAAGGGACTTGGCTTGGCGATTGTCGTAACAACATAGAACTTGGAAGTTGACCACAAAATCACATTGAATCACAAGCTGAGGCTGTAATACGGTTAATGCAATTTTCAAATAGTTAAAAAGTGCGACAGAGAAGAAAGACGTGTCTGCTTCTACTATCTCAGTAGGATGGGGAAATGGAATTTTCTGGCAAGTAGCTTTCAGCTTATAGTATCAAAAACTTTTCTAGTAGTTCCAACAACAAACAGGCTACCTGCCAAAGCTGCAAATCCAACACTAATTCCATCTGAAAGTCACAGAGAGGATTCTGTTGTGGTCAACTTGCCTTTACAGCCCAGAATTGAACAATGATCCTCCAAAATAACCCACAGTTCAAAGCAACACACACATACACATCCAGCCCAGACTGTAAGTCCTCTGGGAAGGACCTTACCTAGAAGGATTAACTAGGACCTGCACTTGGCACTGATGGTCCCATAGTTCCTTCTTCCCTGAGTGGGTCTCGTCCCCGGCACAGCCACTCTTCCTTGCCAGGGCAGCTTGGGTGGTGCCTATGTGCAGCTCCAGGTCTTGGCTCTATTTTGTTTGGCTCATCCCTGCCTCTCCACAGGGATGGCTCTCTGTCCCTTCCCAGCCAATGTCCACAGACCCTGCCTCTTTCCTTGAGTCAGATGTAGATCCTGGGACTGCCCCAGGTAATGAAGGCTTGTGCCCAATTTGTCTTTTCTCTGAGCACATGGGAGTTTACTTATTAAGAGAGAGAGAGAGAGAAGCAATCTCGCCATTGTACCTTACAAGCTTACACTATGACTGTGGGTAAGTTTTCAAGAGTAAGCTTCCCTTCCGTGAACCCAGGGTCCCTCGTGCTGTGGCTGACACATGGACACACATACTCACATGCTTCTCCATGAAAAGGTCCACCTCTCGCAGAAGCTTGTCTTGGCAGTCAGGGTTGGTGGCCAGCAGGTAGGTGGCAAAAGAGAGCGTGTTGGTGATGATCTCGTAGCCAGCGATGAGGAAGATAAAGGCCTGGCCCACAATCTCATCTTCAGTCAAGGGCTTGGACAGGGCTCTGGGTGAGTGCTGCCGGCAGGGAGCTTTGGGGCACTCGGTGGAGGAGAGGACTGGGCTGACCATGTCGAAGTTCTCCACATTTGCAGAGCTGGCAGAATGTTGGGCCTCCAGGATCAGCTGAAGGAAGTCTCCCCGCCTCTAGGGACAAAGAAGAGATGCACATTTGGGCTTGGAGAGGTCAAGGTTTTTTTAAATCTTTTTAATTTCTATTTTTTTTCAAGATTTATTTATTTTTATTGGAAAATCAGATATTCAGAGAGGAGAGACAGAGAAGATCTTCCATCTGCTGATTCACTCCCCAAGAGGCCACAATGGCTAGAGCTGAGCCAATCCAAAGCCAGTAGCCAGCAGCCTCTTTCAGGTCTCCCATGTGAGTGCAGAGTCCCAAGTCTTTGGGCTGTTCTCAACTGCTTTCCCAGGTCACAAGCAAGGAATCGGATGGGAAGCGGGGCCACCAGGACACATATGGGATCCTGGCACATACAAGGTGAGGACTTAGCCACTAGGGTCCAAGAGGAGAGGTTTTGTGGAGAACAGGAAAACCGGGTTGGTCAGAGGGAATAGCCTTCAAAAAGCTCAGTGGGAGTAAGGAGCTTCGTTGCTGGGTTAGCTGAGATGACAATCCCTTAAATGTCCCTCCAGGCGGGCGGAACCTTTATTCTGCCCAGGGTTATCTGGAGATGTCATGGGCCGTACATAATTCTCAACTTGAAAATGAGCCTGTTATAAATTTGCTGAATTTCGAGTCCTGCCTGCAGTTGCCTTGGCAGGGCCAGAACAAACGTTTTCCTGGGGCTCCCACGGTGTAAGGGCCAGACATTGCCCGCACCTGGTCTGGTATGTCGCAGAGCTCCGATAGGGATGCTGCCATTAGAGGCGTTGTGGCCTTTCTACATAGGCTGGTTTGGAAAGGGCGGAGCCACCTGGTTAGAAAAGCCTAGCTGCACAGCAGTGTGCACAGTGGGATCTCAATCTTGTACAGACACTAAATGCATACTCCAGCATCCTGCGTGTCTGTCTCTGTAAAGAAAATGCGGAGCAACCTCCATGCCCAGCAGTTCCTCGGGAGCTCAAGGAGGTGGGAAAACCAAGTGGAGGAGTAGGGAGAGACTTCCGTTTTTTACCTCTTTCTATGTCTTTGTCCTGTTGGTTGATTTTCTAACAGTAAAATAACAACGACAATAACAACAACAACAACAAAAATCATGTGGATTCCCATCACAGCAGCTGACCCATTGTACGCACAGTGCAGGTCTTCCGTTTTTTTCTCCACAATGCAATGACATCAGGAATGGCAGGGTAGAGGGGAGGGGAACGGAGGGGAGGGGAGGGAAAGGGAGGGGAGGGGAGGGGAGGGGCTGGCTTGGGTGATGCCTGTCTTCCCAGTCCCCAGACTGTGCTGGGTTTCTTATCCACCTGCTTGCTTCCCCTGTAAACCCTTTCCCCATGGAAGTGATTAGAGCTTTCATACCGTGTCCCCTACCTTCCTTATCAGTCATTTGCATATTCTTTATGTTTCTCCTGCCACTAATTGGAACAATGAGAGGGTTTACACATTGCTTTAGCTTTATCTAAGTGTATTCCTGGCACAGCCCTTCTTTGAAATGCTTTTTAATGTGCTGAATGACAACCAATATGTTGTTCTTTCCTGGAGGTTGGAAAGACTGACAAAGGCGAGTAGCAGAACCTCCAGCAGCTGTAATTCAAGGTACTTTCCTCGTTACAGCATTTCCTCCATGCACTGCCTTCCAGATTTCAATGGCATTAATAATCTATGCCCTATACACGTGCACTTAATTCTGTCTTTTAAGATTGTTGCCATCTCATGTGTGGTTGCTTTTTCTGTTCCATAATATTATAAATAAGCACATTAAGGGCCAACCCTCCCCCTGACCTGTGCCAAATACATGTACAGTCTGTAATTTAATAATTCCACACATGCAAATGTAAAGTGATAAACGCATTTTGAGGAAGGATGCGTTGGGTCAATGAGGACTGTGAACTGGTTCTAGCAGGAATTTTGGCCCCTGAGCCCTTTTATTGCAGCTCCAGCATCTCCTAGCCCACTACCTTGGAAGGCATCCTTGGCTGAGCTCCTGGAGAGGCTTGAGGCTAAGTCAGTGGCACTCACACACCTTGAGGTTGAGGAGACAAGGCTGAAACAGCTGAGGAAGGTCAACATCTGGGGGCTGCTGTCGCCTCTGCTAACCCTACTCTTATGGGCAGAGAGAGGTGATGTGGGAGAAACCATGCCTGCCATCTCAGCTCAGGGATGCTGGCTCTGCATCCCAGCGCTTGCTCTGACCTCCCTGGTAGGTGGTCTGTTTGAAACTCCCCAGGGGCTGTGATACCACTGCGGACCCCAAGCCTTGGCTGTGGCTTTACCGGGGTGCTATAGGAGCATTGACAAAAGGGGTGGATACAGCTGCGTCCACACCACAGCTTTTTCCAGAGGCCCAGCTGCAGCTGGCATCCTTTCCTGGTCCCACGACTCAGACAAGCCGCCACAAGGCCGCTGGCATCCTGTTGAGCTCTGTCCTGACCCCCAGCTACGGACACCGGGGAGGGCTCCCTCCAGGGGCACGTGATCGCACAGATGGGCTGCTTTTATTTGCACGGAGGCTGTTTGAACGCTGCCCATTTAGGACTGAAGCAGGGCAGGGGGATGGTGTTCTCCAAGAAAAATATGCACCCTGATCGATGTAGGTGTCTAATCCCCTCACTGGCTAGAGCTTAGGAAAATATTTACCTTTTAACATCTGTGCTGCATTTTCATTGCACAAACACACATCTGCTTGATGGAATGTCTATCGAGTTCAGATGGTTTTACCGCTAGCTTTCTTAGTAACTGTATAGCTCTGTCCTGACATGGGCCGTCCTGGATTTGCGGTCTGGAGGTTTTTCTCAGATCAACTCATTGTTGGAAACAAATAGCTCTCGTGTTTCATGCAAGGAAGGCTCTAGGCAATCCCAGTAATTGGATCTTTAATAACCTCTCACCCCTCTTCGTAAGTCATTCAGTGCAACGGGTTTTTTTTCGCATTTTCAGCCTGGTTCTGTAGCCAGCAGGTTAGGGCTGCATGTGTGAGACAAAGCTTTCAGAGGGCTGCCCTTTGCAGCCATACGGAGGTTTGAAAAATGGGTCTTCTTTTGCACCCCCACTCTAGGCTCTATGCCCCCCCACCACTTTCTTCAGAGAAGCACGAACCAGAGACAGGTGAAGTAGGCAGCTGACTGGTTGTTTCCACACCTCCAAGGGCATGATGGCCGTGTTCAAGGTGGGCCAAGGGGCCAAGCACTCCTGCCTAGCTGACAGGTGTGACTGCAGGATATGCAGCTGGGAGGGACAAAATTGCTACCCAAGGCTGCTCAGGGCAGATGGACCCCGATTTCATTCTTGGCCCAAGTGGGGCCTCGGGAGTTGCTCGGAGCCACCCAGCCTCAGAGAAAGCCCTCTGAAAGCTGCAGCCTGCCTTTCATTTTAAGCAACTTTCTGTAGAGCAACGAGGTCCTTCCAGAGCATCATTCACAATGGATGTTTGTCTCTGATACTGAAATGATCTTCCTTCCCATACCAAGATCCTGTTTCTATGCTCAGCCAAGTTCAACTGACAAAAATTGACTTGCCTGGGTGCTAAGCCGAGTGCAGGTCTCCAGGGAAGAATGGCGGCTCTAGGTGTCAGACGAAGCCTTCGAAAGGGGACCTGGCAGCCCTCAACTTGGGATTGTGTAGCAACAAACCTCTGTCCAGAGAGGGAGTGGGAGATAGAGTGACAGGTGCCTGCACTTCTTTCTAATAGTTATGCTGCTCGTGCTGTAAAATCGTGCCTCACTCTTTTTTCATAGAAGGAATATGCTCATGAAAATTGCATGTGGGTACATTTACCTAGAAGATTCTTTGCAGCCGCTGTAACCTGTGCTTGGGGGGATACTTAAACCAGAAAGGCAGTTTTGGGGGCCAACTTGCTCTTGTCAGAAGAGAGACCCACGGCTCTGGGCTTCTTCCCCACTCCTGTCCCTCCCCAGCATCCCTCTCCTTTCTCTGTCTCATTTGACCTTCCTCGACCTTTCGTTTTTCCCTCTACCGTTCTGAGTGGTTGAGTGCTAGAGGCCAGAGTGGTGTGATGTGTGCAGTTGGGAGAGAAGAGGAAAGAAAAGAGAGAGCAGGCCCAAATGAGGCTCCACTCCATTTCGAAGCTGTGTCCTATTAAAATACGTTACCTCTTCAGCTGCCCGCTGCTCCCGCAAGGCAATCACACTCCTAATGAGTTTGTTAAAGAAGCCATTCAGTTCATCTCGGTTCTTATTGGGCAAAATCCGGGCCAGTGGGACCATTATGGAGGGAAACGATACTTGAAAGAGAAAAACAAAAGCGGCATTGAAAAGGAAGAATAGTCAACCAGGGCTACGAGCTGCCTGTTACCAGGAAGCCAAGGCTGGCCTGAAACCAGAGATGTTTCGGAGGCATGCCCCCTCCTTCCCCTTGCCCTGCCAGAGGAGACCCTGCTCCCTCACCCCCACCCCACCCAGGGGCGTACATCTCATGCTCTCTCTGTACTCCTCCAGCTGCCTTGCACATAAGAAGCACTCAGTAAAAAATGCTTGTGGGCCACAAGAGGTCAAAGTCATCCTTCAATGCTTTGGGTCTGAGGTCCCAGGTCTTGGGTCTCATCATAACAGGACAGAGTACAGGCCCCTTGTCCTGTCTCAGCAAGAAGTAGAAGATGCCTATAGCTTCTGGTTATTTGTGTTTGTGCCCTCTGGAATCTTCTGGAGGAGACCCCTTGCCTCATCCCTTAGGGCTGTGCTCTAGCCGCTGATAAGGATGCTGGCCCTGTCTACTGTGAACGCCTCCTTCGCTATGCTCTGGGCAGCCTGGACCCTTTCCTGTGTCCTGCGGAAGAGGGCTGGGAATTCTGAATACCTCCAGGAGACAGGTGCTGGGCCCCGGAGCCTGGGGGCTGGCTGCAGAGGAGCTGGCTCCCATTTTGTTTCTAGTCTTCATGGTGGTGGGGCTGATGTGAGCAGCTGGGGTCTCTCAGGAGGCCTCCCACTGCACAGGCCCTGGCCTGAACAGCCTCTCTGGGGCTGGCGGGGGAGGGAGGGCGGCAAGGGGGCGGGGGGAAAGGGGTCAGGGAAGAAGCTGTTGGATGGCTTCCACCACTGCAGTGTGGAGTCCTTAGGGTGACAGGGGCTCCCACTGAAGTTGGTTCAGATATGGGAATAAAGTTGGCCAAGGCATGGGCAGAATCCATCAGCCCAGCAGAACACAAATCACCGCATTAATCACCAGTAACATCATCACCAAGCCTGCAACGCAGCCATAGACATAAGACAACACCGGAATGGGACAGAGGGCAAAATCCCACTTCTAAAGCAGAGAACAGAATCAAGGACTCAGCTCTGTAGCATTAGGTCATCTTGTCGTTTCCCTGCTATGTTGGCTTTTAGGTTTGCAACACACTGGGTTCCTTTTCTAAAGAGGAGCCTGCTAGATGGGAGAAAAGCACAGGCTTTGAACTCATTCCAGTTTTGGCTCTGACTTTTTGAGCCTCAGTTTGCCCACCTGAGAAGTAGACATAGGACCCTTTGCTGCCTAGAATGAAAGCCCTAGGGGCAGAGCAGTCAGCACAGGGATGTGTGGCTGTCCTCAGTATCCAGAGGCTGGGTCTGCTGAGTGTGTGTTCCAGGAGGGCCGCTCCTCTGCAAGTGACTGTCAGACACACTGGAGTGCCCTTTCCCAGTGGCTGGAGCCAAACCTGCAGCTACCCGTGATGTGCTTGGGACTTACAGATTAAAGCCAGCAGAGGCCGGGGGATGCTGAGCTGAAAGAAGCGTCGGCAATGTTTCACAAAGGGGTCCTCCGGAGCCTCCCACGAATCCACCTGGGTGCCGAAGGCGACGCTAGCAACCACGTCTGTGGTGTAACAGGAGTAGCACCTGCAGGAGACAGCATGTTGGCCTGGGTGGGGAGGGGTGTTGGCACGGGTCCACCCGTGGGACGCTGCTCCTGGCCTCACACAGGGGAAAAGAGGAGCTCCCCTGTAGACTTGAGCAGTGGCAGGGTGAGTCCTTCTGATTGGCTGTGGTGGACTGTGGGAGGAGCATCGCTCGCTCTCACAGCCTCTGGGCTTGGGGAGCCTTCATTAGCTAGATTTCAGCCCAGGACCCAATGTTCCTCCCTGGGGAGGAGGGAAAAGAGGTGACCCAAAGCCCAATTGCTTTGTGCCAAGGCTGTGTGTGGCTCTTCTCAGGCCAGAACCTAATGACCAATTCATATCCATCAAATTGTTGTGGATGGGCGCTGGTAAGGTGGTGTAACAAGCCACAGCATATTAACACCAGCATCCCCTATGGGTACCAGTTCGTGTCCTGCCCAAATGCTTGGGAAAGCAACCAGCTCAAGTGCTTTCGGTTCCTGCTGCCTCCCTGGGAGACTGGGGTCAGCTCCTGGCCCTGGCTCAGCCACAGCTGTTGCAGCATCACGGACATTCGCTGCCTCCTAGCTGGGTCATGCCTTCTAAGCTGAGACACCGCACAAGGCCTGGCCTTTCCCCCTGGGTTCCTATCCTTTCTGATCACAGTATTCTATCCACACTTGTCAGTAGGCAGTAGGTGACTGCCCTGCAGTTCCAAGCAGCAGCAGCAAGCAGCAGCAATTCGAAGCCACCGTCTCTTCTCCTGCCCAGCGGTGTCCTTACCTGCGGACGTCGAAGGCAGCTCCGGAGTCCGCGTGGGGTTGCAGGTGAGCCAGCAGAAGGTGGCAGGCTTGATTGAGGAGGGGCATCATCTGACAGGGAATAACACAGGTGTGACTGGGGCACCCTGCAGGGAGCGCACCTCTCTCCGGCAAAACGGCCATTGTTTCCAGGGCACTTTGCACACAGCTGGGACTGGAGAAGGACTCACATTCACAAATACTGCTAAAATGCAATAGCTGTAAACAACCGTTTTAGCTTCAGCAACATTTTTAATCGTTTTGAAAGCAAAAAAAAAAAAAAAAAAGGAAGAAGAAGAAAGGATTTAAGATAAATATAGTGAGATAATTATGGAAATGATCATTAAGTGCTTAGACACAACTGAGACTCAAGCTCCCTTTCATGACATTTGGTTAACATTAAAGACCAAATAGACCGCGTTCCATATGTTCTATCTCTGGAATTAACCCAAATCCACGCTTGCTTGTTCCAATTATACATTTTCCACTATAAAATCTTGGTATCAAAAGGAACTTCAGGTCATCCATTTCAGCATCTTTACTAACATAGACGTTATTTTATGGCATTTCTAACTGATGGTTATTCACTTGTGCTTCAGCCGTTTAAATGTGCAACATTTAGGATCCCTTGCTTCAAGAGGGCCGCCCTTGTCCCACAATTATGGGGTTTTTATTTAGTTTTGATGACAAACTATTTATGTGGGGAGGTGGTGTTTGGTGCAGGGCTTGAGTCACCTCCAAGGATGCCTGCATCTCATGTTTGAGTGCTTGGCTTGAATCCAGGCTGCTCTGCTTCCCATCCAGCTTCTTGCTAATGTGCACCCAGGGAGACAGCGGGTGAGTCCCTGCTACCTTCGTGGGAGACCCAGGTTCAGTTCCTTGGCTCCCACCTTCAGCCTGATCCAGCCCTGGCTGCTGCAGGCATTTAAGAAAGTAGACTAGCAGATGGAAGTTTTCTTTCTGTCTCTTGCCGGGTGTCACTGCCTTTCAAATAAAAGCTGAAATGAATTTTAAATATTCTTCTGTTGGTGCCTGTGTTGGGCCATGGCTTCTAAGAAGTGTCCGTTTACCTTACTGTCTAGAGAACTCTACCATCTAAGGCTCGTTTCTATGATGAAACTCATGTTCTATATTTCTTCAATTTTTAAATTAAAAAAATTTAAAAGACGTATTTATTAAGAAAGAGCATACGGAGAGAAGTAAGACAGACAGAAAGAGAGGTAGAGACAGAGAGATCCATTATCTGCTGGTTCACTTCTGTGATGGCTGCCTTGGGCCAGGAGGGAGCATCATCAGGATCTGCTACGTGAGTTCTGCTTCCCCCAGGTGTATTAGCAGGGAGCAGGATCAGAAGTGGAGCAGCTTGGACTCAAACAGCTGCTCACATGGGATGCCAGCACTGCAGGGTGTGGTATTACCTACTATGCCATAGCACCAGGCCCCTTCTTTAATTATTTTTAATATGCATAGTCGTGCAAGTTAACCCTCTTCTGTTAAGATCTCATATACCAAAGTAGCTGTTAGATATTTCTGAAGAGTAGTAAAAAAGAAAAACACTGTTTGAAAGGAGAGTCTCTTTAGATCTCCGGCTGGAAGCTTCCTTCATGAAACAAAAGAGATGCCCATAAAATGTGACTTACACACAGTCCTTCAAAGACAGCCCTGGGTCTGAGGAGGACTCCACTCACCCCGAGCGCCAATGGAGGCCCAGACAGTGTGAAAGGAGCTGGGACTGGCTGCCCATCATCGGTGCTGCATGGTTTCAACTAGAATGCCTTGCTGCTGGCTAACGTGATTGTAATTTTCTACTATCCTCTGCCTGCTGTCTGTTGGATGGAATGGATAATCACATTTTTTATTTGGGTTAATGTGATATGAGATGGGACATGTAATATGAAAAATGTTTTAAAAAGCAACCCAGAGCAAGCATGATCAAACGGCGGAGCAGGATCTGGGGGTTGGCCGGTAGCCACCATTTCCGGTTTTCTCCCTTGCATTATACGCAGGCATTTATGGAATGTTTACTGTGACATGAGTTGCATGCAAACAAAAGCTCTCTTTGAGGGACTTGCATAATCTCCATACCATCCACAGACCCCGCCGTTCTTCCCCTAGATTTTCCGACAAGCAGCAACAATGGCAAGTGTAACACACAATACTGCCATCATTCAGCTCTTAGCAAATGACAATACTTCAGTTGTTTCATTTCATCATTTTTTGTAGGGTAATGAGTGGTTTTTATTTTTGCTTTATCCTCAGTTTTTCATAAGGTATATATATTTCATTTCCAAGCAGATAAAATATTAATATTACTAGGTTTTTATTTTGGTTTACAAAACTAATTTATTTCTAGGAATTGCTGTGGACTAAATATATCTCCTCCATCCCCCCAAAAATTCATATTTTGAAGCCATGATACTTAGGGTGGCTGTACTTGGAGATGGGGGCCTCTAAGCAAAGAATTACAGGGAGATGAAATAGGATACAGAAATGACAGGAAGAGACCTCAGAGTGTTTGCTGTCTCAGACTCTTCCCACCTCACAGGCATACAATGACTCAAGTGAGCACCTGGCAAGATGGTGGCCACCTACACAACAGGGCCGACCATCACAACCCAGCTTCCGTCCTCAGAAACCGTGAGAGTCAATGTGTGGTGTTCAAGCTGTGGCAGCCCCCAAGCTGGGACAGGGGATCCAGGCCAACAGCCGGGCCTCTGTTCCTCTCACTTCTCACTCCAACCGGTTGTCCTGTGCAAAGCGGCACCCAGCGTCTGTCTGGGCAGCTCTTTGGGAACCAGCAGTGAACCCTGGGAATAAAGCACGTCCCAGCCTGGGAAGGACATTCTCCAGGAAAGAAGGTCCTGCTTCACCCGGGGCTTGTTATATGGTCAGGTGCTTAGTTCAGTACCAGCACCAACCCATGGATCCTCTACCAAGTGTGTGAGGCATTTTGAGTCAGGGTGCTGGGCCTGTATGAACCGGCAGAGAGCCAGCTAATGGGAGAACGATCATTAGCTGGGAGACAGCCCTACTTCAAGCCTTTCCTCCTCTTTCCTTTTAGGGGAGCCCTGCAATCTCATCAACAGTGTTTCTTCCTCCCAAGGATGAGAACCTGACCTGAATAAAGCACGTCTGCCCTGGGGTACAGCAAACCCATGCAGGCACTGCCAACATCAGCGTTCCTCTCCTCACTTTCTAGATGGGCAGCCCACGGCAAGTTGCTTAACCACACAGAGTCTAACTTGTCATCTGCCAAGGAGCAGTAACAATCCTTGTCTGAAAGACTTGGGACAAAGATTAGAAGCAAAACTCCCAGCACCGAAATGCAGTGAGGGTCCAGACATGAGGGTCATCCTGTGGCGTGTGGCCTGGGTTAGACACCTGGATCCGTTCTCTCCTCCTCTCTTGTCTGCCCAAGTAACTCCCCATTCCTTTCCAATTAATTTGCTTATTTTTAAGTTATAGTTATTTGTTTGAAAGGCAGAGTTACAGGACAGAGGGAAAGATACACACACACACATACACACACACACACACACACACACACACACAAAGCTTTCATTTTGTAGTTTATTCCCCCAATAGCTACAATGGCTGGGGCGGGGCCAAGCCAAAGCCAGGAACACCTTCCAGAGTGCCCACATGCATGGCAGGGACCCAGGTCCTCAGACCATCACTTGCTGCTTTTCCTGGTGCGTTAAGGAGGAGTTAGATCAAAAGTGGACCAGACAAGACTTGAAATTGTGCTCACGCTGGGTGCCAGCATCACAGGCAGCTGTTTACCCTCTGTGCCACAGTGCCAGTTCCACATCCCCACTCTTGCTTCATGCTGTAAACAGTGTTTTTAATTTTTCTTCCATCAGCCCCCTCATCTTGATCCCCAGTCACTTGGAATAGGGCTGCTGGCCTGCTTCTTAAGAACAAAGACCCTAGCTTAAGGCATTCACAGAATAATATCTGACACATAGGTTTCCTAATAAAGTCTTGGAAAGAGATTCCCAGCTTCTGATCTTTTCACTTTCCCATCGCTCCTATACCAGTCACCAGATGGATCTAACAAAAATATTGTTATCGGAGAGAGCTCCTTTGCTGAGCCCTCTTGGGGGTCACCATAAGCTGAAGGATATGGTACCAGCATCTTAGCCTGTATGCCAAAGCCCATGGACAGCTGAATCCTATCAACCACCATGTGGGGAAGCTTTAGCCAAACCGTGCTGGATTCCTGACCCATAGGAATCAATGTGCTAACAGGAAGGCTATTTTAAACTACCAAGGTTTGGGCTCACACTATTAGATAGCAACAGAGAGATGGCACTCAACACTGTTCTCAGGGAAACTGTGCTTGAGTGTTGTCATGTAGTGTTGAGGCTGTTGGCATTGGTTATACAAGGAAGAAGCTCCATGTCCCTCATTCACTTGCATTTCTAGAAGCTTCTGGATGATGAATAATGGACTAAATATTCCTCAAGAGCCTAGACTTAGAAAGTACCAGGAACTATTAGATAAAAGTACTCCTTCCATCTGAGTGTGAACTCAGCGTAGTTTACTGAAAATGACATCTGCTTTTCTTTTTAAAATTTATTTATTTTTATTGGAAATGCAGATTTCACACAGAGGAAAGGAGAGACAGAGAGACAAAAGATTTTGCATTCACTGGTTCATTCAACCCCCAGTTGGCTGCAATGGCCAGAGCTGAGCCAATCCGAAGCCAGGAGCCAGGAGCTGCTTTTAAGTCTCCTAAGTGGATGTAGGGTGTCCCAAGGCTTTGGGCCGTCCTTGACTGCTTTTCCAGGCCATAAACAGGGAGCTGAATGGGAAGTGGAGCAAAGCCTGGACATGAACGAATGCCTGTATGGGAACACTGTGCTTGCCAGGCAGAGGATTAGCCAGTTGAGCCATCATGCCAGCCCCCCAGTTCTACCTCTTACTCCAGGCATAACATTCAGACCTTTTTGAACTTGAGTCCTCCACCCCAAACAAGAGATAATTGTAAAGGGCTGCAATGCCCCCTCCTTCCCCGAGATGTTCTAGGAGTCCAGGAAAGTCACTGAGCAACAGTGAGACGGTTACCT